CCCAACTAGTTCTTCGTCTTCATCTCTAGCTACTCTCCCTCCTCACTCCATATGTAGAGCATGCACTTAACCTGCCTTGCCTCTCTGCCTTTACACATTGTATCCAGGGCTCTAAAGCGAATGTCCCACTTTACTCAGAAAGCAGATTTTTCTCATCCCTCAAACCTTTGCTCAGATATCCCCTCTTCCAGAGAGTCTTACCTGAACCATCAAGGCGGTTTGCGTTTCCTGTTTCTATCATAGTGCTTATCTTCTTCTATTGAGATGGTCTATTGACTTTTCTGTCTTCCCCATTAGAGAATAGATTCCTTGAAATATATATATTTTATTCACCTTGGAATAGTTAGTAACCAGCACAGTGCCTTGCACATAGCAGGTGCTCAGTGTATGTTGAATGACTGATTAATATATATGTATAGAGAGGGAACACGTATATGCAGAAAATAACCATTTGATAAACTCAGCAAATGGCACCAATCTTGCCTAATCTATATCAGAATTCAGGACTAACTCAGAATCAGAAACCACCTTTTTCAGAAATCCCTTTTTCAATAGTCAGAGGTGTAACCTATATCCTCCCTAGTTTTTCTACCCATTCCTTTTCTCTAGAACCTCTTTATCATTTGCAAATAACTTTTCACATATTCACATACATTATGCCATGAAATCATTAAAACTACTACGAGATCATGTTCCTTAGCTAGGATTTAATGAAACAACCTCAGTGTGTCCTAATGGTGTAGTAAGTAAGGCAATGAACTGAGAGTTCAAAGAGCTGAGCTCAACTCTCTGTTTTACTATTTAACTACAGGTGTGCCAGTGGAAAGATCCCCTAATCCATCTAAACTGTAGCTCCCTTTCCCACTTTGCCATCCGCAGTGAAGGTAAATTGTTATTTTTATACATTGTTGTCATTATTATCCAAGTTGGCATTTGGAGGTAGCCAATTCGCCAGAAAAAGCATAGACTGTATGGTAAAATGGGCCTCGTTTTTAATCCTAACTTTACTACATAATAGTTGGGTGACCCTATTAAGAGGTTAAGCCAGTTACCTAACCTCTCTGAGACAGTTTTTTCACATATACAGATACTAATAATTTCCTTTTAAGTTGTTTTAAATGTAGATGACATAAAAAGTAGAAAAAATTTGTGTATTTTTGAAGTGCCAATAAAATTATTATTTTTGTTTGGCCAGTTTTAAGAATGGTGTGTTTATCAAAGTGCTTTGCATGCATCATTATAAAAATATTTAATAGATGTGCCTTTAAAAGCTTACTGACAACTGTACCTTAGGTTATAAAAGGCTCTGAGAAGTCCTGCTGTAGAGAGATCTGTTTAACTTTGTCTAACCCATCATTTTCCCAACTTATTTGAACATGGGACATAATCAGTGTCTTCTGGAATAGCAAACATGACGAGAGCAGAAAAAAACTGTATTTTCCTCACATTTTTCCCAGATGACTCTCATGATGGAGACTCAAAAACAAAACCCAAAAACCCAAAAGAGTAAGAATAGTGAAAATGCTCCCCACTCTACCATCCACTGACTTATTATTTACAAAGTGCATATTTTCTAGAAAACAATTAACTATGTACATACATACATAGGAGAAATTCAGGTAGAGTTTTAAGAGTAAACTTCATAATTTCTGAAGGAAAAAGACATTTGGATGCAATTGATCAAAAGCATGAGGACTAAAAACTGTTCTCTTAGGGAATTTGTGATTGCCACTGGCTGAACTGCACTCTTGGTAATTTCTGGAATCATATGAGAAAAATGAGAAAGGAAAGTACTTTCACATTCATTCACAGGCACAGTTTCTTTAAAGTCATAATTGCTCTTTTCACATGGTAGCAAAAACTCACTTTATTATTTCAAATAGCTCTTTCCCAGCATTACCTCCTGTGACTTTAAAAGCTGCCATTAATTTGCCATTAGTAAACTTTAATTAAAAGGAATATGTATCATTGCTTTTAGCAGTTGCATTGTGATACATGTGTAAATACATGCAAATCTTATCCACAATGTTTCAATGGCTATTTCTAAACAAGCAAACACTTTGATGTTATTTCAAAAGACTGTATCTACAGAAAGCTTTTAGAATCTGGTCCTTCCCTAAAATAATTAGAATTTCATGGAAACACAAGAAGCAGTTACCAACCTAGCTAAAATCTATTTTATTGATCCCAGAAAGTAGCATGTTAAAACATGAATAATGACCTCTGTGCTTTGAACCACTCAGTACTCTGGTGTTTCTGCAATATTTGTGTATAATGTATTGAAAAGAAAAGCTAGAAGAGGCAGAGGGATCTTTCTAATTTAAGGAATCATAGTGAGTCTAATAGAATAATCTGAGATGAGTTGCACTTCATTGGCTTATTATCAAAGATGTATCTACTCCCCCAAAGTTCCATATGAATATTCAACACTTAGAGAAATAGAAACATATTAGAGTGCATCTGAGTGTCAAGTTCCATAAGCTTTCTTATCCCTTTCCAATGTCCTATATTAGGCTAAAGTTTTGTGTTTTTTTTGAAAAGTATACTTCATAAATAGAAAATGATGCTGACTAGTCTTAGATCATGCTTTCACCAGATTACTCTGGCATCCTCCAAATATCTTAACCAGAATCTGAGAATAGTTAGATTCGATGATAATTCAAACTTATCTACTAAACACATTATTCTGAAAATGTTGACAAATATTTCCAGAATATTATATCTGATAATACTTCCAACTATAATATTCCTCCTAGACGATCACACATTATCAGTATTAACTTCAAAGTCTCTAAGGAAAATACTATAGAAATGCTTAACTAAAAGGAGCCATGTGTGACCACAGTTTCTCCAAGTGCTGGGGTCAGTTAATGCATTTGTCTGACAGCCTGTGGTTTTCTTTCTGCATTCAAACCTTACCCTTCTATCCCTTCTCTCTCCACCCCGACTCCCTACCTTTGCAATAACTTTTCTGTATGATAAGTTGGCCCAGTGGCTATGGTCTCTCTGATATGTTTTTAGGCTCATATCTTTTCCTAATTATTTCTCACTTTCTGTATACTATTCCCCGAGAAAATTAAGCATCATTTTTCAACTGGGGAGATGTTTGGTTTAGAAGGTATAGTAAACACAACTATAATTAAAAGGATTTCCTCAGTTCACAGAATTTAATATTAGATTTTTCATAAAGTATCAGTCTGTTAAAAAGTTACAGTTTTTCAGTTAATAGGATAGAGAAGTATTTGCATTATTCACATAAGTCTAGAAACTTGAAAGGTGCTTAAAATTAAGTGATTTCCAAATCTTGATAAAGTTTGAAAAAGTTAACAAATGTGATGTTAAGCTTAATTTACCATATTATCAGATTAGAAATGCTAATCAGATGCATCCTAGCCACTCAGTAATTTCAATAATTAAATTAAGCACTTAAGTCCTCCATCATACTTGAAGAGCATCAAGCTATATGTCTTCCCAACAGTCATCCATGGGAAATATAGCTATCATATTTAACTAGCATTTCGAAAAGTTACTTTGAGTCCAAAATATGTATGAAGGTTTCCAACATCAATTTGTCTGACTGCATATCAAATATCACTTTTCCAGAAAGTATCTGCTTGAAAAAAAAAAAGTTTCACAATCTGAAAGGTCACCATCTATGGCAATGTTCAGTCAGCTTTACAAAGCACTGGTCCCAGGAAATGTTGTGAAATTACCACACTTGCTCTTCTCAGGTGAAAACATGGTTGTTCGTCATAAATGAAAAGAAGTTTGTGGTTCTATTCCACAAATCCTCCGAGTTGTTTCCACAGGGGATACTTCGGCATAGTCAACAACTCATATCTTCTATCACAAAAATAGCCACAAGTAAAATTGAAAAACAGCACTAGTACCACAGAGTGCAGTTCCATATTGGTGTACTTTCTAGGAATTGTCCTCATTTCACTTATACCACCTATTTACTAAGTTATTTTAAAACTAAAAAAAGCTCTGAGATATTTGAATCTATAGATTCCATACAAGTAATTTTTATAGATGTAAAATATTGCTTCGAAATCTGCTAGTAACATATAAAAGTCAAAAGAATGTATTCCTGAGCATACTATTTCATTCTGCTCCTAAGTCCACGCTGTGACTGTTCAAGTGGTGGTTTCCCTCTGCCCAAGTTTAGCCTTGTATTCCAGTTTATAACTGAAGTGATCCCTGTGTAAAAACACTTGGTAGACCAGATGACAAGTAGCAAAGTAGCCAATGAAGATGCCAAGTACAACTAAAGTTAACATGGTGCCCCACCCCTTTTCCAAAGGCTCGTAGTTATATGAGAAATTACATATGGAGATATTGCAAGATAATCAGAAAGGGCACTCTAAAAGTAAATCTGGGCCCCATAAAGTTTACTGACTCATGCTCGCAGAGATATATATATATATATATATATATATATATATATATGACAAGTCTTTTGCTTATTAGGATCTTTACTTTGAGCAAAGCACTTCTTCAGCAGTGATCATTAATATGTGGGTACTTTTGAGCAGCAGCAACTCCCATTTCACTAAAATTAGCAATTTTTTTTCACCAGGGAACAAAAGAAACCATCCAAATGGCAACACACACCTCAAATTCAACATAAAAATAAAGGAATTTTAGAACATGTGACAGGAATCCTCTCCTACTCACTGAAACAACATCACTAAAAATTGGGAGGGGTGGTTGTGGCATGCGAAGAGCGAGAAGCCAGTGAGGCAGAGTGGGAAGACAGAAGGGATGAGGTGATCGAAACCACTTTGCTGTCCTTCCCTTGCTTCTCACTTCCCTCCCACCCTAGACTGAGATTGCAAATTTTAAAAATGCAAGCCCCAGTTCAAAAGAAACCCCAAAAACTGGAAGAGTGTGACTAGGGTTACTACCACAGCAACCCTGAAAGATTTCCGTGCAAAAGCAAAGCAGTGGGGATGTAGTAGCAGCAGAAAGCCTCCCTCTTCCCCCACCCATTACAGTACCTCCAGATTTGCCCGAGCTGCAAGATGTGGATGAGTGACTGCAGGAGCCAGATGCAGAAGGAGCAGGACGCAGACCTGTGCTTGCCACTGGCCCGGGTAGCCCCGCTGCTGTTGCTGCCGCTGTTGGCCGCGGCGATGTTGCTCTTGCTGGCGTTGGATGCTTGCCTTTGCGGCGTGGAAGGACGAGCCTCGCCTTCTCCGGCTGCAGACCCACCGCCGACCACCGTCTTGCAATCGGCTCCAGGTTGCGGACAGCTGGAGGCAGCAGCGGCTGTGGCGCTGTCCTCGGTGCTGAAATCGTGCACAAACCAGCGGAAGCTGAACACTTGCACCGACAGCGAGCCGAGCACCACGAAGAAGAGCGTGAGCCCGAACCACCAGCGCTGGCCGCGCAGGTAGTAGTCCACGGCGAGCCAGACGTCCGTACCCACGTCCGCGAAGTACACGGCCACGGCGGCCAGGATCCAGAGGCAGTCCCACAGTGAGTAGCGCCGCTGCTCCCTGCCCAGGCGCAGGCACAGCGCCGCCGAGCCCGCCCCGCCGCTGCCCGGGCCGGCGACGCCACCGGAGCCGCCCGAGCCCCCGGAGCTGCCGCTCCCGGCGCAGCAGCAGCAGCAGCGCGAGCAGCCGCCGCCGTCCGGGCAGCAGCCGCCTCCGGCCGCCTCCTCGTCCTCGGCTCCCGACCCCGACGGCAAGCCCGGAGCCAATCCCTGCACCGAGCCCGAGTGGTCCGAGTTCTGCAGCGGGGTGAACGCCACGTCGCTGCTCTTCTTCATTTTCAGCCTCCCGTCTGATTTAGCGGCCATGATGCCTCCACACCGGAGGAGAGCCCTCCTTTATCTGACACCTTTCCCCGCTGTCTCCTCCTCCCGCCACCTCCTCGCCTCGCCCCGGCTTCCCTCCCAGGCGGCGCGGCTCCCCCTCCTCCTGCTCCTGCGCCGGCTCGCCCGCCGCCCGCCGCCGCCCGCCGCCCGCCGGGCTGGGCGCTGGGATGGGCCGGCGGCGACTGGCGGCGCGCGCAAGGCCGGGGGCTAGCGGCGCGCCTGGGGCCGGCAGGAGCGCCGCCTGGCTGCCTGCGCGGAGCCAAGCTGCTCGCGGCGCCCCGCGCGCGCCCCTGCCCGCCGCCCGCGCTCCTCGCCGTCCCGGCTTCGCGGCTGCCGCCCGAGCCGCCGCCGCCGCCAGCAGCAGGAGCAGCAGCGGCCGCCGCGGCGCTCCTCGAACCTGCACATTCCTCTCCTCCCCTCGCGCGCGCTCCCTCCTCCCGCTTCCTCTCCTCCACCAGCTGACTCCGAGGGAGAGGATGACCTCATCCCTTCTCTTCCAGCTGCCGCCGCTCCCACCCTGGCGCGGGAGGGGCGAGGGAGGAGGAGGGCCCCGGAGGAGGGGCCGAGACCTAGAGGAGCGGCGGGCAGGGTTTGGGAGGACAGCCCTGGCGAGTCCCAAGGGCCGGGAGAAGCGGCCAAGGGGGCCTGAGGGTGGCAGTCGAAGGCCCCCACTCCTGGGATTTCGGAACGCTGGGTGGATTTGAGCGACACTGGGGGAGGGGGAAGAGCGCGCTGAGAGGAGGGGTCCTGCGTGCAGCCCTCGCGAAGGACCGCGGAGAGGGGGTACGGACGGGTGTGGCCGTAGCAAGGGCCAGGGAGGCGCAGGCCTCTTTGTATTCCGCTCGGAGTCGCCGGCACCGGGAGAAGGGCTGGGAGCGCGGCTCTGGCCGACAATAGTGGGGAGAATGGGTGTAACTCAGGCGCCAGGGCTCAGAGGCCAGCAGCGGCAGTGGGCGTGTCCGGCCTTGCCAGGGAGAGCAGGGGAGAGAAAGGCGTGCGGAGCCTGGTGCCGCGCCAGCAGCTGAGGGCGGGCGGATCCGCGGGGAGCCCGGAGACAGCGCCCTCGGGGGAGGCAGCCGGCATTCCGAGGGCTCCGGGCTTCTCCGGTGGGCGGGGGTGCCCGAGCTCAGGCAGGTGCGGAGGCGCTGCGGCCCTCCTTGGCCCAGGACCATGCCCGACGCCGGGGTCCCTCGCAAACTCTCGGCAGCTGGGAAGCTCTGAGCTGGGAGGAGCGGCAGCCCAGTGGGCACCGCACCGGCCCTCGAGGCGTCCTGAGGCAGGTGGGAAGCGCAGCACTCCTGGCGGCGGCGCGGGCCGCGGGGCGCGGCCGGTAGCCGCGGGAAACCGAGTGCCACCCCACCCCCGGCGCGAGGGCGGGGAGTGGCGGAGCCCAGAGCAGGCGCCACCTCCCTTACTCCCTACTCCAAAACTAGAAATACCTTCTCTTAAAGCTATAGGGATTGCAAACTAGCTCTGTGGTCCCACAACTCCAAAAATGACTCGAAAAATTAAATCTGTGATCGGAGTGATTCAAGGAGAACATAAAATATGTTGCGGTTTTAAGAGATTTTTAAAACCTCAATAAAATATAGAATCTTCATTTTTTTAATAAGAAAACATAAGCTTTGATTTGTCTCACTTAACTTTTGCAAATGTAAGAAATAGAGTGTAATTCTTAAATTATACTGTGACTCACATACTTTAAGAGCGGAGGTAAGTGAGGCAACACGAGTTACACTGCCGCTAAGAGCACCAGTTGGATCTTCTAAATCAGGAGGCAAACCATAACACCCCCAATCACCCCCGCTTCTCGGTGGTAGGCGCCAGGTGAGTTCCAACTAGTACATAGTGCCATTCTTAATGAGTAACATTATGAAATAGAAGTGCACAGATTTCTCTGCACGTGGAAAGAGTCGCCTCGCGCATTGTGTGCTACATATCACGGGCTGTGTCATCACCAACCTGTATAAAGTGGAATTTGCCCCACGCTCTGGATTCATTGCCTTTGTTCTCACAGACTGGTGCCCAGGATCCTCCCTTGTTTGGCCTTGGCCTGACATTTTGGCAGGAGGGTGTCGAGTCATAGAGTCTCTACACGATTACATGGCATGTACAAATCCGGTATTTCTAGCAAAAGGCCTAGCCAAGTGATGGCTGAGGGGCAACACAGTCCCACTAAGATGCTTAGTATGCCAGGCAAGAGGGTATATTTTTAAATCCAGCTTTAAAATTGGGTCTTCTTGGAGTAGAAGAATCCTTTTTTTGGAAAACACCACCCTGATTCTGTTTCTCCGGAGTCCAAATCTAAGATTCCAACTCCAGGGTGCTACCGCTGATCTTACTCTGTGCCAAACCATTAGGGAGAAGAATGATCTCTTAGGTAACTGGGTCCTAAGGGATGGAGTGTATTCTAGGTCAAATGCAGTGTCTTAAATTGCACCAGGCATGAAAAGGCCCTGCAGAGTATCTGAGGTGCTGAAGACCTCGGACTGACTAAAGGTTCCCCTAAAGCAGAATGTTTCTTGTTCGACTGTATCCTCTGCACCTAGCACAGCACGTGCACAGACTATTTGCTTATTACATATTAGTTGAGTGAATGCATGAATTTATAGAAAGAACATTCCATGACAGGAAGAATGCTGCATTCTGTGCTAACGAATGTTCCCATGGAAACATACGAATTATGAAACTTTTTATGTTAGGTTCTAAAAAGAAATAACTAGTAATAGTTTCTTTATTAATACATTTATTCAAAAGTCTCTTTAAGGTTGCTGTCTGAACTATATCTGGAAAGTAATGGTGACGCGTAGTTAGTGGTAGGAGTTTACAAGCAGGAGGTCAGAGGATGATCTTCACATCCAGGCTTTGCTAATTACTGGCCCCATGATCCTAGCAAATTAATACACAGGATTAATGTGAGGATTAGATGAGATCATGTATATTATGGGACTTTATATACAATACTGTTCTCAAGAGTCTCTAATCTCATAAGTCTAGTAATCACATTTTAGGATATAGATTTTAATATTACCTGCTCTATCATAATCATTGCACCTGTCAAGGCAGGTGGACATAATGGTTGCGAGCTCAGAGTTTGGACTTATCGTTGTACATGTTATTTAACTTCCCTGTCCTTCATGCTCATCATTTGTAAAATAGAGACAATAATGATCTCTAGAATTCAGTCTTGTTGCCAGAAACAAATACTAATACTAATAACAAGGAGGTATGTGAACTGTTTGATGCTGTGTCCAGCACACTCCACACACAACATTCTGTTAATATCTTTCCTGTTTCTTCCAGCCCCCTCATGTCTTGTGGCTTCTAAATTTTTGTGTTTAGCTCGCCAACTCTACTTAAAACTAGAGTTCCTCAAAACACAGTCCTTGGACTACCTGCATCACAGTCAGTTGTTGTTTCATACAGATTCCTGGCCTATCAGAAACGTGATCTCTCTATCAATGATTTTGTCTTCCATCCAATCTCAGATTTATTCTCGTTGTATAACCCAGGGGTCCCCAATTCCTGGGCCATAAACTGGTATGGGCCAGTGACCTGTTAGGAACTCGGCCACACAGCAGGAGGTGAGCCGCGGCAGACAGGGTGAACATTACCACCTGAGCTCTGCCTCCTGATCCACGGAGGCATTAGATTCTTATGGGAGTACAACCCCTATTGTGAACTGCGCATAGAAGGGATCTAGGTTGGGTCCTCCTCATGAGAATCTAACAAATGCCTGATGATCTGAAGTGGAAGAATTTCATCCCAAAACGATCCCCCCCACAACCCCAAAGGAAAAATTGTCTTCCACGAAACCGGTCCCTAGTTCCAAAAGGGTTGGGGATAGCTGGTATAACCTAAACCTTAGCATTACTCAACAGCTTCATAATCTCCACTTTACATACCTCGCATTCTGATTAACCCCTCCTAATTGGTGAGCTCACTCTCTCCTGTACCCCTGGACCTGTTTTCTACCTCATTTTCATGTCCATTAACCCCTTTCTGCCCCCCTTTCTTCTTACACTGTGTAAATTCCATGCTCAATCATGATAGGCACCTCTCACACACTTCCTCATCTCTGTTGTTCCTCTTACTCGACAAAACACCAGCCCTGGTTAAACTCTGTTCTCCACCTACATCAGGTCTGATCCTGTGTAACTGGTTGTAGCTGGAGAAGGGGCGTAGCCCTGCACTCTGCTTCTTTCTATCCTGGACCTTTACCCTTAAGTGGACCAAAAGGCTGCTCCACAGTCACACCTCATCTTCCCAGTCCATTTGCATTCCTGCTCTTTTAAATTATGTCTTTTTATATTTTCCTTTCTCAAGCTTTAAACACCTCCTTCCCCATTCTTACTCTCCACTGATGACTCTGCTTCCTATTTCACTGAGAAAGATAAAGTGACCAGAGCAGAACCCACACAAGCACTCAGCACCTTCTCTTCCCACCTGCCAGCATGTGTACCACCCACTCAGCTTCCTGCTCTACAAGGCCAACTCCCTTGCTGTTCACCAGCCCCCACCCCCTCACTGCTCAAGAGTTCAATTCCACACTAATTGCCTCAATTATCAGTATTTCCACTCTGCTGGATTATCCCCATCAGTGTACAAACACACTCCTATGTATCCACTAGTTAAAAAACAAAGCAAAACAAAACTTTTTATTCCAGTTCCCTTTCTAGTCACCACTGCATTTCCCTGAAACTTTTTACAACAAAGCTCTCTAAAGTTGCCTAAACTTGCTTTCTTCAATTCCTGTTCTTGGTGATCCTCTCTTGAACACATTCAAATAAAGCAACAATTGCTCCACTGAAACTGTTCTTACCAAGTCGCTGGCAGCCTATTGCCACCTTACTGAACATTTCAGTCTCACCTTCCATGACCCCCTCAGTGGCATTTGACATGGTAGAACCTTCTCTTCTCAGTGAAATCTGCTCTTCCCTTGGCTTTCACAATGTCACACACTCTGGGGTTTTCCCCTGTTTTAAAGCCTGCTTCTTTTACCTTTAAGCTGGCTCAGTCTTCATATCTTTCTCTATGTGTATTAATCCATTCTTACACTGCTATAAGGATATACCTGAGACTGGGTAACTTATAAAGGAAAGAGGTTTAATTGACTCACAGTTCTGGAAGGCTAGGGAGG